CACGGGGCATCAGATGGACTGTCTTCTCTACGCTGGAGGACCTAGATTTTGCAGCTGATCTAGCTTTGGTCTCCCATGCTCACCAACACGTGCAGAAGAAGACGACCCGACTCAACACTTACGCACAGTAGGTTGGCCTGAAGATCAGCCAAAAGAAGATAGAAGTGATGCTGCTGAACGTGTCCAACCCTAAACCAGGTCAAGTGAACGGAGAAGATTCGCCAACAACTGAAGAGTTCACTTACCTGGGCAGCACAGTAAGCCATGATGGAGGAGCATGGAGTGACATCAAGAACCGTCTCAACAATGCCAGAAACGCACTCAGAATGCTCAACAACGTCTGGAGGTCCTTTCAGTACAGCACCAAGATCAAGCTGAAGGTCTACAAAAGCTGTGTGATGTCCACCCTACTATATGGCACTGAATACTTGAGGATGACAAAGAGTGAACACCAAGATGTCAGTCTTCCACACAAAGAACCTCGGGAGAATCCTGCAAATGTTTTGGCCTGACACCATCTCCCACCAACAGCTTCTCGCCCGCTGCAATCAAGAAAGCGTGGAGACCATCATCATGCGAAGGCAATGGAGATGGATTGGGTACGTCAGGAGGAGAGAGCAGGACAATATCACTCGCACAGCCCTTCATTGGACAACGGAAGGAAAGCAGAAGAGGGGAAGACCAAAAAACACCTGGCGCCGATCTGTGGAGGCAGGGCTCAAGACCATACAACGCACGAGGGACTCTATCCAGAAGATGGCCCAGAACTGTCAGATGTGGCGATCCTTGCTAGCCGCCCTACGTGCCACAGGGCATAATGGGCATGACTGACTGGTTTTACCGCTTTACAAGTCCATTCAATTAAAATAGTCTGACTGTTTTTAATACTTCAAGAAACTCAGCTAGATTGTGCAGCTTGTGCCACTCGTTCATTGAAATTAATTTGACCATTAAAAGTACTCCAACCGGTTCAAATAGATTGTGCAATTTTCGACCTGACCTTTTTGCTGTTGAGCAGTTGAAACCATTTCAGCTAGATTGTTCAGATTGTGCAGTTAAGCCATTTAAGCTTATTATGCATTTTTTGTCCAATTGAACAACTTAGGCCTCTTTGATCATGTGAGTCACTTCCACCAATTAAAATAACTTTCGCAATTTATCCAGTTTATTTTTTTTTTTCTGTTTGGATAAAAAAAATTAAGCAGTTGAAGCATTTAAGCTAGCTAAGTTTCGTGAAGAAATTGGAATTGTCGACTTTTTTGATTGATTCGACTTGTTAAAGAGTCAAACCACGGAAGACAGTTAAACAACTGGACAGATTGCATCATTTTTATTAATTAGTTGAGGTAGTTGAAATGGTTCAACTGTACACCATGCATAACTAGCTTAAATGGCTCCATTGCGCAAACTGCACAATCTAGTCCAAGTGGTTAAACCAGCTAAGATAGTAGTATACGGTATATTCAGTAGATATCAATGATTTTCTCATGTTATTTTTGCGCGGTAATTTGGCGCTGGCTTTTTGATATAATATATATCATTTCCTGGAATCCATATGCTATGAGAGTTCTTGGAAAATCTTTGATTTTTATCTAATGTATTGGTATACATGGATTATCAGCAAGTATATCCAGATGATAGTAGTTATCATAGTAGTAAAGATGGCGATTATGCATATGATAGTCCAAACTATTATTCAGATAGCAATGACAGTTATGATAATAGCTTTAGTGAGAGTGATATAGTGAACTGGATGATGATGCATATTACTTTGATGACAAGAGAATATTTGTACAAAATATTTGTAGATAATATTTATTCAAAATATGCAAGATACTTTGATGATGGCAATATTTTAGAAGCAGAAAAGGAATTACATCATATCAAATATAACTCAAGGAAACCAACGATAACCCCTGGTAATATTTTAACGTATAATATCTATGTAATATTATAATATAATGTATTGCAGTAAAATGATTCGTGATGAGTTGTATGAAGGAATAATCTCACTTCTGTTGGAAACAAATAAGGGAACGATCAGTCATAGTAGAAAAATGCCATGAGAAACAGTGCTTGGAAGATAAAGACTATGTGATTGTGTGCACCAATTGTGGGCAAGGAAATAGCTATGAACCAATGAAAGAGTTTTGCATGATATCTTCCATGATAAGAAGTGTGAAATAATACTTCAGTCAATATATTTCATGAAATGCTATCTTAATAAGGTAACATTTAATCTAACCAAATGTTATGACATAATAATAACCACAAAGAACAAAAATGAGATAATACCAGTCCTTGAAAAGATAAACAATGTATTACCAGAGATCAATGGTAATAGAAAACGGATGATTGATATCGATTTCATTGCGATATTAAATGTGCAAATCAACGTAGATTACATAAAAATAATCTGATCAAAGAAAACCCTACAATCATCACAGCTGCTGAAACAATACTGAAACTAATTAGTAGTGACCACAACAAAATACTTAAGAAATAATTAACCACAAGTAAACTACTTCTCGTACTGTTGCTCAAAAACATCAACCAATGAACACGCCTATGATAATATGATCTGCAGTTTTCAATTTGTCTAAACATTTCTCCTTATCAAATGACACTCCTCCTAAAAATAATCTTAATTTGAGTGTTTTTACATAGGTAATAAAAGCAAATCCACATAATTCGATCTTTTTAAAATCTTTCATTTCACGGTGCGTTTTAATATCAAAGCACTACTAGGTATATAGATTCGTAGTTACCCCTCCAGCCCTAGTACCACCTACTATTAAACAAGATGATGACAAATTGCATGACAGATCTAGTGTCTGGAACCTCTTATAGGCTTTTTTAAAGAACCAAGGCTTCTTATGACAGTATTTGTATAATAATGTTATTTCATTTATTGCATTTTTGTTCAATGATTTATCTATAGGATTGGATTTTTTAACACTCCGAGGATTTATTTTTTTATCACAAGCTGGGCATTTGTATTGGTCTTTTAAAATGGATTTAAAAATACCAGACATATTAAGAATCATATGACCAGTGGATGTTATGAAAGAGAAATGGACGCTATTTGTTATTAAATCACTAGCTCCAGTCATTAGAAATCTTACTATGTTACTATTATTATGTGAAAGATTATTACAATAAAAATGAATGCTCTTAGTTTTATCATCAAACACTTTGTTTGTAGTAGGATTATCATCATTAACTGCATCTTCTATTTATACTCTTTGGTCATTTTTACTTACCTACTGTGAGGAAATTGAGAGAGTACCATTAGTTATTTCAGACTTTTCATCCCTCACCCTAAGTGGAACATCGTTCTGATATTCCAAGGTGCCATAAACCATGATACGAATGACTTAATCTAGTGCATGACCCACGCCTGACTTATTCTTCAGTACTAAATCCATCATCAGGTAATTAGGTGTTACATTATCGTACTTGTGTATATGAACCAACGAGCTGGTATGATCAGCAGATTTATTAATTGATACCCAGCAAAGTGTCTTAATACATTTTTTGCATCTATTGACCATCCTCAGTTGACATATCAGCCAGAGGGGAAGTATAATTCAAATAGCACCGTATATTCACCAGTTCCAAGTTCAAACATTTCTTGCGCTATCCAAATGGAGTTTCAATTCATAGATTTTCTCTATTGAACTGATAAAAGTCTTGATCAATGATTTTATCTCCTATAATGTCATCTTCCATCATTGAGCTGCCAACTTTTATTCACGGTATATCATAATGTGTTTTACGAATGTGCACTACCAGGAGACAGATTTAATCTGCCATAAACTTACTTCTGATAATTATTAGTCATTATTTCAAGCTAGTTTGACAATCTTTACCACTTAACCCAGTTCAGCTAAATTGTGCAGTTGTTTAACAGTTGAGGCCGGTTTAACCATTTAAACTACCTCAAGCAATTAAGATAAATTGCGGAATCTGTGCAGTTTCACTGTCTTCGCTGGTTTGGCTATTTAACCACTTAAACTAATCAAGTTAGTTGGACTATTTAAACGATCTGAGCCAATTTAGCCAGATTGTGCAGGTTTCAATTACCATTTAAACTACTTCGAGCAATTAAGATTGCTAGGGTTTAATCTATCCAACAGAAAAACACCACGATGCCACAAACTCGACTACTTTATTACAAAGCAAGTAACAAGGAGTGACTCCTGAAAGAAGTACAATACTTATCGTTAATAAACTTAATTAAGCTCACCACACTCTGTGTCCTAGCGCACCACTGACGCAATCTCACTGCTGTCTCCAAAGTTCCTTGAAATCGGCAATCTTCCAAAGTAATCCCTCTCGGTAAAGCTTTCAAAACTGTCGTCGCTCCGACATCGACAACTACTGATACTACAGAAGTGACTCTTTATATATGTTGGCAAAGTGTTCTGGAACCTTTGAGAGGCTTGCAAAAAAAATATTTTAGTAGTATTACCTAATAACTGCGTGACTTAATGAAGTGTTCTAGATTATTCTATGATGAGCATTTCAGCATGACGAGGCACTCTAATAAGTATGTAGGTAAGTAAGTAACAACCTTATTTAAAGAGGGTGGCGCATAAAAGTATACCTGACAAACCAGTGGCCCTCTATCTAAAACTGATATCAAATTACTAAGATACCTCCAGGATATTAAAAGATAAGGATACCGTTAAAATTTAAAAAACTTTTAAATATTTAAAAAACTATAGAATTGAAAAATATGTAAAAGATGTAAAAAAAACGAGGAGAGATATGTACATATAACGCAATTCTTAATCGAGTTAAACTAAGTATTTCAGGATAAAAAATATTTTCGGGCGAAGATTTAAAAGCGCAAATGGACTCTTTCTTGCGAATATCTAAAGGAAAGCTGTTCCAACGTTTGGCTCCACTGACTCGAAAGGAGCTACCCCCTTCTGTTTCTCAATTGTAAGAGGAAGTACTAAGTTTTTTCTTCCATAACGACTTGTCCAATGACGGTCCGAGTTTTTAGTTAATAGCTTCGTTATACAGCTTGGATAGCTTTTTTCATCTTTAATACGCCTAAATATTAAACTACTCTTTCGGAGATTTAATTCGTCCTTAAAGTGGTAGCCAGTCATGTCGTCTAAATAGAATCTCGCTCCCCTCCCCAACAGTGGCATCCAAAATTACTCGAGCTGCTCGCTTTTGCGGTTTTGATACGCGTTTAACGTTTCCTTCTGACGAAGTGCCGCATGCTTAGGACCCATACAACATTGTCGTCTTGATCAATGCGTATAAATATAGTTTGCATAAATGTCTGCAATTGACCGGGAGACTGACTGAGAGAGATCATTCATAAAGATGATAAATAATAGTGGCCCCAGCACCGATGCCAGAGGAACACCGTGTGCGATCAGTCTTTATCAAGACTACACTCCATCATTAACAACTGCACTCCTTCTACCCCTTAAGTATTTCGTTGGGAGGAGGAGTTCCCTAGATGTTACGCCGTATGCCTTAAGCTTGGACAGGAGTATGTCAAACACCTTGTAATCGACAACTTTGTTGTGTGGGATATGTGTTGGCCGCAGCTAGCCAGCCAGGTAGAGTTTAAGAAGAATTGGGCTTGAGCCACCCTTTCTAGGCTGCCTCCGAGTGCAGCAAGCAGTGCTATCTCTTAGTAGGGCTGCTTGGTCCCTCAGGCTCCTGCCGAATCCTGTTGTCCTCTCCTCAACAGGAAAGCGACGAATACCCTGAGCAGCCTACATGAGTTTCTAGAGTTGCGACCAAGCACGTTTAATACTGGTGTTTTTGCTCTTTCTCCATGGCTGTAGGAGTTTTCTTCCCGCCTGCGCTTGCTATAGGTTTAGTAGAGTGGGGGTTAGGATGCGTAGGCTGACTCCCCTCTTTTGGCCAGGGAAAAAACTTTACATTGGGTGAGCTGACTGAGACAGCTGTAGCCTTTTACATAAGTGTCCATCTCCTAGCCTTTGGCTCAGAAAATATTTCTGGGAGACACAGGGTGTCGCTCTCTTTTGCCTTCACAGCTGACGGGAGTTGTCCTCATCCGCCCATTCTGTCATCGGAGCTTGGTTGCCGTACTTGTGGTGGCTCTTCACACGTCAAGCCTGACAAGCACAGCAGCAGGAGGGTGGAATCTCGTTGCACACCTGGCTTTTTTAACTTTGTTGTCCATTCTTGTGATAGGAGAGGTGTCTGTCGTAGTTACGTTGTTCACTTTTCTGTAATCTGCGCACACACGATAACTTCTGTCTGGCTTGGGAACAAGTAGACATGGAAAACTCCAACTACTGCAGCTTGGTCCAATAAGGTCGTTCTCTGACAGAAATTTTATTTCAATTGTGAGATGTTGTTGCTTACTTGGATTTACCCTGTGTGGATGTTCTTTTACCGGAGAAGCATCACGGACATCCAAATCATGAAAAATCTCACCTGTCCTGGAAGGTACGTCAGGGAGCAGGTTTTCATACTCTTGCAGTAGCTTCTTCAGGTCCTGCCTCAGTGGGACGAGGATGACTACTCCTAAGTTTACCAATTAGGCCCTGGCTGTTCGAATGCCGGATAACGCTATCCGCTGGGTAAATCAGTATCCAGTGAGTTGCAGAGTAGATTTCGTCAAAGGTATCCGTCGGCCAATTTATCCGTTCACCCTTGATACAACTGGACCCAGTTCTTTGGGCTCAGAAACAACTCCATTAAAACCTGCAACCTCTTTAACTAAATTACTACTTCCACCCAAATAAGGCTTTAGCATGTTTACATGCTATAACTGTGACTGCTTACGCTCACCTGGAATACCTATGACATATTTAAGGTCATCTAACATCTTCTTAATAACGTAAGGACCAAAAAAATCTAGAATTATGAGCGTTTCCAGACACTAGGAACAATGCATGAACCGTGATTCCAAGCTCATGCATGACTTGTTAAAAGATGTCAGACATAAAATTGGAATCTTGGATAGAACCTGGAAGACCTATCAGTGTAAAGAACTTGGATAAAGCTCTTTCTATAGCCTTTGCTTTGGTAATATTCTCAAGGGCACGGCTTCAGGAAATCTGGCGGACACACACATGATGGTCAACAAATACTGGTTTCCAGACCACGTCTTGGCTAGTGGCACTACACAATCATCAACGATTCTGCTGAATGGCTCTTGAGCGGCTGGTAGTGGCTGTAACGACGCTTTTGGAATGGTCTGGCTCGGTTTCCCAACCACCTGGCAGGGGTGACACGACTTGCAGAATTCCGGTACATCTTATCCTAGTTTAGGCCAGTAATAATTGTTTAAGATCTTCCGGTAGGTTCTTTTGACACAGAGGTTGTCAGCCAAAGGGGTCTCATGCGCTCTGCTTAAAATCTCCGGTCCTTAGGTGTTTGAGAGAAAAACCTGGTACCTGACAGCCCACTCATATTAGGCGGAAACATCAGGTGGTCTCCATTTTCGTAAAGTAGCAGGTGGGGTAAAACGTCTTGAAAATTTAGGTAAAACTTCCGAATGTTCATGTTGTTCTGCAATGAGCTGAGTGGTTGACATCTTTTCAAGCTGTTTCAGTAAACTTTTCCTAGAAAGGATTTGTACTGGCTCAGAAACAGAGGAATTTGGTTGCTCTACCCTTAACGACTTGGCTGATGACAGTGTCCGCTAATGTTACTTCTTCGTCACGTTATTCTTTCTTCTTACTCCTGGCTCGTATCATTACACATGCTGGGTACAGATTGGATCTGGAGACTTTTCTGAACTGGGCTTCTTAGTGACATTAGCATTAACACCTACTTTGTCTCCTGCAAGGTCGTTTCCTTGGAATATGTTGCACTCCCTCAAATGATAACATAGGCTGTATTCCAACTTTCACAAGCCCAGACACAAGATCTGATGTTAGGTAAACTGTATGAAGTGGCCCCGGGGGATACCCGGAACTGATTCCTCTGATTGCTTCATGCTGTAATGCCAGTCTCTCTTTCTCCAGCCTTTCTGATGCGGGAGTGTATGGGCGGATGCCCTATCCTTTTGGAGAGAGAATCTCGGTGAGCTATTGCGGTAAGTATTGCCGCATTTTTTTCTGGTTTTTTTTTTTTTTGTGGTGTTTTATGTCAGCATATTTCCTTTGAGCTTTGTTGCCTGTTTGGTCACCCATCCCATTTTGGGCTCAGTTACCCTCGTGCTTCCGGCCTTTGGGGTGTGACTCTTAGGGGTTCTGTTTCCCCTTTTTTCCTGTTTTTTCTCCTTTTTGGACAAGATGTTTGGTCTTAAACTATACGTCCACGTTGCTCTTTTTCCTGCTGGCACGTTGGATGTGGATATTGTTCGATATATTAAATCGTAATTAAACGCTGAGTCTCAACATAAGGTCGTGTCTATCCGAGTGTGCTCTAACCGTGTCGCTAAGGTAAATTTTGAAAAGGGTGGTGAGGATTCTCAGGCTTTCTTTGAAGAGCAGGGTTATGTGATCTTAAATGGTGGGGACTGTGAACAAGGGTAGATGCCGGTGCTGTAAGGAGGTGGGGCACTTACTCAGTGAATGTTGTCAACTGTGGGGGAACCTCCATGCCCGGGAGGGTCCAGCTCCGGACTGTGTTTCCGCTCAGGTCGAGACTCCTTTGGGTGGCGGGGACCCTTTTGAGGTGGGCCCAGTGGATCCAGATAGTGTTGGCTCTTCTGATTGAGCTGATAATTTAAGCAATGCATCTGGTAGTAATTGCAATGGTAATGTAAATAATGCTAGTAATATTGCTGCAATAAATATGTTAAGCAGCAACACATATAATGCTTGTAATGCCTGTAATGCCTCATGAGATAACTTAAGCAATGACATAGGTAATGCTAGTTATGCTGTGGTAATTATGCCAAATAATTAAAGTGTGGAAATTGGTGAATTAGTTGATAGTGTAACTGACAGTTCAACCGTTGGCGATAATGATCGTGCTCTTAGGGACCCCTGGCCCCCTGACATTGAGATGTCCTATGCCTTAGCCCACAGAAGCGGCCCTCCGAGGTGCTTTCCGATGATCTGCTCAGTTCTGGGTCCGAGTCATTGGTGTCACTGCCTTCCCCAGTCCCTAAGTCCGTTAAAAGGAGGTTCAGTGCCTCTGATTTCAACGACTTCAACCAGTCAAGATAGACAGTGTAAGTTTCCCAGTTTAGGTTTGTCTGTTAGATTGACTACCAAAGCAGTTCAACCAATTCAGCTACATTGTGGAGATTTCTAAATTGAACCTATCAAGCTCGTTATGCATCCTGTGCGGTAAGACCACTTCAGGAATTTTGACTCGTCGAGCTCCGTCAACGAATCGAGACTGCAATTTTTGACGTGAGTTTCACCGTATTCGCTGGTTTGATTTTTAGCCAGTCAAATAAGTTCAGTAAGTTTAAATATTTCAACTACTTAAAGCAATTCAGTTTAATTGTGCAGTTTATCAGATATATTGTGCAAGTTGTGCAGTTTTGCTGCTTTTGCCAGTTTGACTATTTAACCGGTGGAACCATTTGAGCTGCATCGTGCAGTTTTTGCAGTTGATCCAATTGAGCTGGTTATGCCTTTTGTCGAGCTAAATCATTAAAGCTAGTTTGACCATTTGACCTACTTGAACCAACTTAAATAGATAAAGGAAATGAACGTACTAGTACACTAAACAAATAAAGAACGAGCCGTGATGAGTTGCCCGTACCAAGTACTACGGTTCTGACCTACTAAGCAAATAAACATGCTGTGGTGAGTGTCTGTACCGAGCACTACGGTACTAACGTACCAGCGCACTAAACAAATGCGGAAAATGCCGTGAGGAGTTGTCCTTATCGAGTACTACGCTACTAACGCAGTAAGCAAATAAACATTCCGTGGTGAGTGTCTGTATGGAGTACAACGGTACTAACGTACTAGGGCACTAAGCAAATGAAGAACAAGCGGTGATGAGTTGTTCGTACCAAGTACTACAGCACTAACGTATTAAGGCACTAAACAAATGAATTATAAGCCGTCACGAGTTGTCCGTATCAAGTACTACAGTACTTACGTACTGAGACACTGAAAAAAAAATGAAAAATAAGCCGTGTTGAGTAGTCTGGACTAAGTACTACCGTACTAACGTACAAGTGCACTAAAGAGATGAGGAACAAGCCGTGAAGAGTTGTCTCTACGGTACTAACGTACTAAGCAAATAAACATGCCATGGCGAGTGTCTGTACCAAGTACTACGTTACTAACGTACTAACGCACTTAACGAAT